AGAGAAGAGGGAAAGGATGAGAGATAGAAAAGAATAGGAAGAGGAGAGAAGAGGAGAGAGAGAGGGAATAGATGAGAGAAAGAAGGAAGAGATGAGAGAGAGAAGAGAAGAGAGAGAAAAGGAAAGAGATGAGAGGAGACAAAGAAGAGAGAGGAGAGAGAAGAGAAAGAGAAAATGAGAGAAAAAGAAGAGGTGATAGAAGGGGAGAGAGAAGAGAAAGAGAGGAGGAGAGAAGAGGCCATCAGTATTTTCAATTTCCATTTAATATACATAGTTCTATGTATGTACTATAGTGTGTTCACTGACAAGAAGAGAATCAACTCATTTGAAATGCAGTGTTGTAGATTAATTCTACAGATACAACAGACTGCCAAGCAGACAAATTAATGGGTCTTAGGACAAATTAACCTTGAACTCTCCTTAGAAGTGAAAGTGACTAAACTGAAGTTGTCATACTTTGGACATCTCGTGAGATAACACGACTCATTGGAAAAGATGCTCCTGTTTTGCAAAGTGGGAGGCGGTACTCAGATGGAAGTCAACCTCGGAGCCCTGCCTGGAATTGAACTCACAACCTTGTGGCTGCAGTATCAGCATTTAACTATTGTGCCACCAGGGCTCCTAGGAGCCCTGGCCAAGCCAGGATTTGAACTTTGGTCTGGAGTCATAGTCCAACGTTCAAAGCATGATCCATTATGTGCTTGTCCTATCAGTTGGATGCAGGGTATCTTAAGTGATACCCTGCATGTATCATCACTAAGATGCTGGCCAATATGTAGAGAGATCTTGTAGCACCTTTGAGACTAACTGAAAGAAAGTTGGCAGCATGAGCTTTCCTAGACTTAAGTCTATTTCCTCAGATGCATCTGGTCTTCCACCGAGGAAGAAGACTTAAGTCTAGGAAAGCTCATGCTGCCAATATCTTTCTTTCAGCTAGTCTCAAAGGTGCTACAAGATCTCTCTACATACTGATGTCACATGGCTATATCATAGAATCATAGTGTTGGAAGAGACCCCAAGGGACATCCAGTCCAACCCCCCTGCCATGCAGGAACTCAAAATCAATGCATACCCAATAGATGTCCATCCAGCTTCTATCCAACCCCCCTGCCATGCAGGAACTCAAAATCAATGCATACCCGATAGATGGCCATCCAGCTTCTATTTAAATCTCTGCATGCTGACCAATATTTGTTGACATGTTGTGACTGGTAACTTATATTTAGAGTCACCCCATAAGGACCACTAGTTCAACCTCCTGCCAACCCTCCTGAGACAGCAGCGTGCTTAAAGCCCTTCAAAGAATGAGAGTCCACCAACCTCCAAGGCAGTCTATTCCACTTTTGAACAGTCAAAAAGTTCTTCCTAATATTTAGGTGGAATTTCTTGTCTTTCACTTTCTTCAGATATCTTACCTCTCAATCTTCTCCATGTTAAACATACTCAGGGCCCTGTGGTTTTTCCTCCTAAAAAGGCATGGTTTGCAGACCTTTGATCATCTTGGTTGTCTTTCTCTGAACATTCAGCTTGTCAACATCCTTCTTGAATTGTGGTGCCTAGCACTGGGCACAATATTCCAGGTAACGTTCGACCAAAGCAGAAACTCAGCGTACCTTTCCTGATCTGCAGTATCCATTCTAGTTGAAATTATATTACTGTGGTTTTAAATATCTTCCATAGACTGTATGGACCTGGGCACCATTTAGGATTAAGTTCCCATGACTCAGACTTCCAGGTATGGAAATTTCAGGACACTGAATAGGTTACCCCATTGTCCTGTCCAGAATACATCAGTAATCAAGATTATGACCACACTGTATGCTTACCAAATCTAATTTTCCATATCAAAATCACCCTCGGCACTTATGTCAGAGAGACAATAGCTGGGGCTCATGGGAGTTGTGATCCAACTAAGGCCATGCAATTCCCATATGTAATAAATCCCAGGAAGAAAACGGGAATGAGCTCGCAGGCACACACTCACTCTGTTGTAAACAGCCCCATCCCATACTTTTTGTACATATTTACATATCTTTTATTAATTTAACATTAACATTTAATTTAAAAAACTGGCCTTGTGCTTTATTTACAAACCACCACTGTTCTGTGATGCAAGAAATGCGGATTTGCCCTGTATTTGCACTGTACCACGGAGAATCATGCATTCACTGACCATAATTGTGTTTGGTTGTGATGTTTGTGAAAAATATAGTAGCAATGTCAACGCCAGGAGCACACAGGCCTCCTCTTCAAAATGGGGTCCTTAACGTATGTTTTGCAGTCAAGTATACACAAGACCATGAAACAGAAATCAACAAAATACAAAAGTACAGTCAACAGTCAGGGTACAAAATGTCCAATCTCCCAAAGAGAAATTAGTTAAGGGGCTTTGAAATTGCTTGGTGTGATAGTCCACTGCTCAAATTCTTTGGGAAACAAAAGAGTTGCCACTCTTCCTCAGCAATAGACTTTGGGCCATCATCTGAATTGTGACAAATGAAGTCATGGTTTTGGTGACTTGAAATTGCAGAACACAAATGGGAAATAATACTGAACTTTAGCTACAAGCCTTATCGCATTATTGTTTTTTAATAAAGTAATTTTATTGTAGAAGATCAATCAAGACAATATACATGAATTAAGTAAGAACAAACTTGGCAGTTCCACCAACAAACAACAATACAACAAAACAAAGTAGAAGCTGTGTTTCAAAATAAAAACCTTAATCGCATTATTAAAGTGGCCTGTTTGAAGCCTAAAGAAAAGCGAGATAATGTTTTAATGTTGTTCTGTTTTAAATGCTGTTGTCCCCCGCCCCGATTGCTCTGCAGAGGGGCGGGCTATAAATAAAAATTTATTATTATTATTATTATTATTACATATGTTCATAATTTAATACATCTCAACCCTAGCATAAAATATATCGGACTGATTTCCTTTACGCACTTATCAGAAAGAAAACCATTGCTTAAATACTTAACGTCTCATTATTACTTGTAAATTGTTTTATTGTTGCTTATATTATTAAAGATATCATATTATAAATCCTATTTACTGCCTGTATTTCAGATTATTAACATCACTCTCTTCTTTTGCAGGTACTTTAACAAAGCTTCCCAATCCTCTTTTTGTTTTTCCCAAGACTCACCCCTCACCAAAAAGGTAAGTTTGTCTACTTCAATGTAGTCAATTTATTTATTTAACCAAACTTCACTATTAGGGCATTCTTTCTGGTTCCAGTTATGTGCAAAAACCACTCAAGCTATTGTAGACATATAAAATAATATCTTACCATATCTATTTTCTAAAGAATAATTTGTCACTGTACTCAATAAATAAAATTTAGCATCAAAATTCATTTTACAACCTAAGATTTCTTTTATTGATTCATGAATTTTTAACCAATATTTTTTTTGTTTCACTTTATTCCCACCATACATGGAGGTATGAGCCAGTACATTTACTACACTTCCAACATTTACTATTGGATGTTTTGTACATCTTGGCAATTTTTATGGGCGTTACATGCCATCTAAATTGCATTATATAAATTTTCCCTAAGATCATAACTTAAGGTATATTTTGCCCTTTTAATCCAGTTCTTCTCCCAATGTTCCAAAGCTATATTTTGTTTCAGGTCTTGAGACCTCCTTATTATTGTCTCCTTAATTGCCTCTTGTTCTGTATCCCATTTCAGAAACAGGTCATAAAATTTTGAAATTCTGTAAAAATCTTTAGATTTCATTCTTCTTTCAAATTCCTGTTCTGCATTGGCAATCCCAAACATTTGATTGCCATAGGGGGAGGGAATTGGATTTTGTTGTATTTTATATTTTATTTTTATTGTTGTTAGCCGCCCCGACTGATCTCAAAGGGGTGGGATATAAATAATAATAATAATAATT